ATATAGATCCTTAAAATGCAACCTTATTTTTTGATTGAATTCCTTCACGTACATGTTTGTTGTACCTTTAAATATTGTGCGCTTTTCTACGCAGATTTTGAATTCTTATACCATCGCTTGGACTTGGTGAAGCCGGATTCGTCATGCGTTCACTTTTCAAGATATGTAGCAAAAGGTTTGTAAGCCCCCCGCCCTTCCCCAGTCATGAAATGTTATCGTCGTCATTGCTATTTATGCTCAATGATTTTTAAAAGATATCGCGACTCTTAACTGTTGCATCATATTATAGAGCAATATCACAACCCTTATTATTGTCGCAGATTCAACTGTGGTAAAGTTTAGTGCAGAAGCCTTCATAGATCCATACAAATACCTTGGACTGGATGAGTCAGTATCCAAGGTGAACGCTTACGAAAGGTTTATGAAAAGTGCAAGAGCAATCGACCCCGGATTTAAAAGTGGCATACGTAATACAATCATAGCTACCAAGAAGGTAGAGGATATTTGGTTTCGAGAAAAATCGGAGTACACCAAATATCTTGTTTGGAGATATGTTGGCACAGCCAATGGCGTGTTCAGAATGACACCCAGAATTTTGCTGGCCAAATCTTACGATCCGAGGAAAAGACCATGGTAAGTAGTATATGGTTATAAAATTTACATGGCAGTAGGTTTCACATTCCCACATGGTTTTTAACTTTAAAAAGTATCCTAGGAGCCAACAAAGCTTTGTCGTCCATCCTTTGTGTAGACATCATCCGTTCACAGACAGAAATGTATGATAATCCACCCGAAAGTCCCACATAACTATCCCATTGGGCGATTAAGCTTTAGTTGCCATATGATATGTCACATTATCATTTCATATTTTGTCATTTTTTAGGTTCCACACCGCTCTCAGCAATACGGGGTCAGTTGCCCTCACCACGCCCTATATAGACGCCTTCGGTGCAGGAGTGGTGATAACTGCAGCCCACACAATCTACCGCGGTGAGACAAACAGCCAGCATAGTACAAGTGATCAGGTTATTGGAGTTATGGGCGCAGATTTCCCCCTATCATACTTTGAAAAGTAAGGATATCATATTTTATGGACCGCACTTCTATTACATAGCTACGATATCTTTGTGTCTTTTTTACGCTGTGCAAAACAGATCATTCTATTCTTATTCCAAACATAGATACTTAAAGTACTAAAGTGACTTCCCTTCCAGGTTAAAAAATGTCTAATAACTAACTTAATACTTTTGTTTCAGACTCCGAACAGATACGTACCCAAAGTGTGAGGAGAGCAGCTATGATTGTTTTGTTTTGGACAGAGCTGGTTTCCTAATCATGCACAATGATTTCCTACAGCCAGATATAACAGCTAAAACTCTGGAGTATGTCCACATCACAGAAAAAGAGAAAGACATCTCCGAAGATCTGATACAAAAAGGTTATCTGGTGAAGAAGGAATGTCGAAATTTGGAGAAAATCGGCTTGCAGAGCTTTTACGAGCTAAAGCTTCCATTTCAAGGAGTGAGTACTCTTGAGAATGGACAACGTTGCAAGAAGTATCAGCTCTTGAAAGTTGGTGGAAGTAATGCCTTTTTGGGTAAAAGGATGGGAAAATCTGACAGGTATGTTACAATGAAAAATATATTTAATTTACGCTGAGAATGTTTCTTTTCTCTTTTACATTAACAGGAATCATATCAAGGGAGGGCTCTTGTTCATCTAAGACTTGCAGCTGCTCCAGTAACAAAGAATGTTCCAACGTGAAGGGACTGACTTGCGAATGCCCTTGTTCCTCACGACTTGAATTTCATTACTGTAGGAGTGAATTTCCAGCCAGCAAGTAAGCTTATCATGATTTGAAAAGTTGCTAGCACCGAGTTTCGTATGTAAGCTTAACAGCTTTATTTTCTTGCAGTATTTCCATTTGTCCCGTGCCAGCGACTGTTGTTCTCTCTGAGCGAGTAAATGATCCTTCAGTAAATGGCTTAGGGAAATGTTTCGACCCACAATGTGACAAGAAGCCTGATTCAGAGTCATGTGACGGAGTCCTAGGCTGCTATTGGTGCGTTAGAGATAAGTTCAATACTCCTCTTTCCAAGAAATACTGCGCAGATATCAATACCTGCTATGGTGGCACGCAAGGTATGTCTTAAACTGTTTATTCGAAGACACTTTTTCCTGAAGTGTGCATCAAATAATGTATGTACTTTATTGTTCATTCTGCAGGCACAAGAGCCCCAGGAAGCGGTAATATTCCAACCAACCCCACCAATCCAGAAGATGACGACGATAAGGGTGGTCTCTCGGCAGGTGCCATTGTCGGTATTGTTCTGTGGTCGCTCGCTGCTGTCATTGTGCTTGCTTTCATCTTTGTTAAATGTAACAGAGAAAGTACTCCAAAAACGGTTGCAGCCTTGGCTCCGGCTCCAGCAGTGGAATACAATGCACTGCCGCCTACCACCCATCCACCAGAATGCGCATACCGACCTGAGCCTGGTTTTCCTGTGCATCCCCACGTCATCCCCACGAGAGGAGTCATTTATTAAGCGATATAATATCTATACTATATCATATTTCAAGTATAACTTGTTTCAAATATAAAAATGAGAGCTAAAAACAATTCTAAGGGACTGTTACAGGCAAGGGAAAGAAGATAGATAGATAGATAGATAGTTTATTATCAAGAACCTTGCAGCCACAGGCTGAATTACGTTTGATTTACAATAAAATATATACTACAAAAAATACATGGCTAAGAAGAACTAATTAAAAAGACAAAAATATATAATTAAGAGAAAAAGAGAAATGGGGGAGAACTGGGGAAGAATGGGGGGGGAGTATTGTTTTTTCGTAGCACTGAAAGTAAACATTTTCGAAATTCAAACGAGGCCTATAAATACGGTTAATGTTTAGGCTTTAAAATCCAAGCTCTGGTCGACCATCAGCATAATAAATAAACTGTGTTGGAAATAGAAAATTTGATATCACTGGGTGACCAACTTAATGTAAACAACAGATGTAACGGTAGCATTGATCAATTACCAAGAGTAACAATGTCGCTTTCTGTAACGACACAAAGATATGATAAAATTGGTCGATTTTATTAAGTCTGTACATTCTTAACCCATATTTCCTTAAAATGATATTTGCTGTGAATGACTTTCGCTCAATGAGGTCCCAGTTTAGTTCCCAATCCTTTCTCCCTTGGTAAGAATGAAACTAATTCGTGTCTCCAGCCTAGAATATAATAGTTTCACATGGTGTATCGCAAAAGTTACCTTACTCGAAATCAGCCTGGCCATCTTTCTCTGTGTTCGCCAGCTTACTCATGACAGTTAACCAAGGAGAACGACTTAACGTTACCGGAGAAGTGAAATTTACTAACCACTGAAGACTTACGACATTTGAGTCTTGCAGCCAATAACATCATTACAAACAAAGCTTGCTGGAAACGGACTTACAGCACACGACCGACATAATATTTTAACATGACTCTTCTGACGACTTGCACTGAGGTTGTCGGAACGTAAGTTTCTCCGATTAAGTCTTTCTCTGCACTACCCTTACCCAGAGAACTCACTTAGTGCTTAAGCATGCTTATCCTACTCAAGTATATTAAGGCTAGGCCAGCCAATTAAATATGCATGTTAGTAGAAGATGCCATCTAGAATGGTTCGGTTAAGAATTAGTTAAAATAATTAAGTGGGTTATTTTTAGGACACCTTGTACGGCCTCGATCACTTGAATGGGTTCTACTTTACCAGCCCGCCAGCCAGTTGACCAGCGGATTTGTTGTTGAGATATATACGTTGTGTAAGTTGACATCGTGATGATGTCACGAAATTGAAATAATGAATTTTGGAATGATTGATTATGAAGAGAAAACGGAATGCGGAAAGATTGATTTGAGTGAGCTGGGATACCGTCTTGACACTGCACTCCACAACAGCTTCTTGAAAATTGCCTTGTGTGAAAAGTAGTTTAAATCCTAGGTAATTTTTCCGGAACAGTATTTTTAACGAAACGAACGCGAAGGATTTTTCAACGAGACAGAAAGTTTTCAAAATTTTCTCGAGTTCAGTGGAGTAGATCGGCTATCATTCATGCATTCTCGTAGTTTTACTTTCATGTAATTTCCTATGCCATTACGAACGCCTGCGTAAGATAACAAGGCGAATTGAACTAAGCAAATTCCGGTCGAACAACCGATTATTACGGCATTTCATCGATTCCGAAAAAAAAAATGGTTGTGATCAGGCTAAAAGTGCATTTAAACAGACAACTTTCCGCCACAATGCAATTAATGTATCAGATCCGATAGAGTTGTTTGCGCAACCGTACCTATCTGACGTGATCGAATATGCAAATATACTTCTGTGTGTTCATAATCACTGAAGCTAAATACTTCCTGAACGCACGATTAATCTAACTCTTAAATAGACAACTATTTGGATGTAGAGATGTGTACATGTGTAAACGTGATTCGACTGAAAGTAAGTAATTATTACAAATATCCAAGTACAAATATAGCAACATCAAGAGTAACGACAGAGCTAAGTGAAATGGAAACGAACTTAAAATTTCTGGCGTAACCAGGTCCGGCAGTAAAACTCTTAGACAAAAGTAACACGGCAAAAAGTAACGAAACGACTTACTTAGTGCAACTAGCAGTGAAAATTATCTAAGGAAGACAACGTTTCTACTGGTGAGAAATAAAACTCTACGGGCGTTACATAATTCTTACAAAACCTCACGCAAAAACACGAACTTCTTGAAAAGAAACATAACATACAAAAGTAGTTCAATTGAAAGAAAAACAATATAAAATATTTTCGCAGTCAAATTACGATAAATAGAAATGCAAATTCTAGTGGCTACAATCACGAAACGGAAACATTGGGATCAGGTAACGTCATTCGTTAAGATCGAAAAAATACTAGCCAGGAAAAAGCGTGGGGGTTCAACGTAAGCAGTATCCCGTTAAAACGAGTTGAAACACGACAAGAGGACAGTGCTGAGTACGACAGTCATCGCAAAAACATGGCTTCTTCGTCGTTCCTTCGTGGAAATGGGAATTCAGTCGCTGTAATGCTTTTTTTGATGACGTTTTGTCTGTGTTGCACAGCAGATTTACTAGATCCAAGCCTTTTCAGTCAAACACTAACCAAACTAGCCACAGATGGACTTGGCGTCTCTAATTTGCAGGTAAGATCAAGATTCATAGTTTGGATAAACGTGAAGTCCTTCCAATTCCTGTGTGTATCAGAAATATTGGTGTAATATTTTGCACAAGAAAAGATCGTGTAAATGTTTACGTCCTGCAATGCTTTATTGCTCACCAACAAAATTTCGTGTCATTTCTGCTGCTAAATAATTTAACTATTTATTTTAAGAAGCGTTGATACAAATAGATCATAGTTTTCATACAGTTTCATGCTTCCCGATCCAGCTGCAATGAGCTACACATAATTTTTAGAGGTGCAACTAGAGAGGAGTACGTATACAAAAACCTACGACCGGTCACCGTTGCCACATATTTCCTTCGCTCCACTCAATAAACACTGTGCAATCATAAAGGTATCAAATTTTGACAGGGAAACTGTGGCGTCGATTTCTTGACAGCACTCTGTTCAGTAAACTTGAAGTGTAACACAAGGATTACATGGTTATTTAAAATAACACTAACAAGAAACAGTTACTGAGTTATCAGTAATCTGAGCCCAATTTTTACATTTGGACAGATAACTAATTTTCAGGCGATATTGTTTTCAAGAATGAAAAGATGACTCTTCTTTAATTTGATCATACAGTCATATTTTGGGTAAAAGGAAAAGCTTATCTGCATTAACAAAGTACTCAAACTGACATTCAGACAATGAAATATGATTCATTTGTAGGTCGACAAAACAGAAACAATGCTGAGCGAAAGTTAAATTACTGGCGAAAAATAAAGATGCATGTCACGTGACAACAAATAATGACAATACAATGTAATCATCGATTCGAAGGAAATTCGATTACGTTTTCTTTATCTTAAATATACTCAAGAATTAAAATGAAATAATGAAAAGGGAAAAGCGAACAATGAAACAAAATCCTTAAAATATGATTATGTCTCACAGTAACTATAAGCAAAGAATAAATAATTTTCATCTCCATACCCGTTCAAGTCCTCTTTGCTTAATCCCAGTCTCAAAATCTTATCTTTTGACTCTGTCTCTTCCTCCAGCCATCTCAATCTCAGTTTAAACGCACCAGTTCAACTGACAGTACACCGGTGACATGAAAAGAGTCGTCACGTCAGCTGTTTGCTTCTTTTACAAATCCTCGTTTATCTCTAGTTTTATCTATTTCTTCTTTTAAATCTTGATTATTTCTTATCTAGGAGCATTTTGACAGGTTAAAGTTTACAGAGACAGTCGTGGATGGCAGTCAACTTATCCCCAATCTGGCAGCAAGTGTCTCAAACAAATTCAGAGACAGGTTTCACGTTGTACAAAGGCTTAAGACAGCTGTTGAGTCCTCCTGGCCCACACCTCCCTCATCAATCCCGACAGAATGCTGTCGGGTGTCAAGTTCATCTAAAAATGCAGAATATGACTCCAGATTTCGCAAACGACTCGACATATCAAGTGCGTGCGTAAAAGTATCTCAAAATGCTCCCCCATCACCTAAACATGTCGCCAATTCAGTCGTGGAGGAGATGAAAAATATTTTGCAAGATAATCCTTTCATCAAGTGGCAATATTTTGCATCAGAAGAAGGCACGTTGGCAAATTACCCAGCATTTGAGGATACGGAAGATTGCAGATCTTATGATCCTCGTTTCAGGCCATTTTACGTGGAAACGGCCACGCCGAAGCCAAAGGATGTTGTTCTTGTTCTCGACACCAGTGGATCGATGAAAGGAAGCCGGCTAAGGATCGCTAAGGAAGCTGCTAAAACTTTTCTGAGTACAACGAATCCCAGGGACAGGGTGAGTATGAGGAAAAGTTTGTGTGTATGAGAGTAAAGCATTCTGCAATCGTTTGATAATCCTATTTCTCAACGGAAATAAAAGGAAAATATGTTTTACACATTATTAGATTCCCTTCCCCTTTAACCCTAATACAATTGAGAAGTGATCTTTCACACAGCATATACTAAAGTGCTGAATAAAGGACTTAAATGAATGGTCAATTGATTCGCCTAACTATTGAATGAGTTGTCAACAACTAAAACACGGTGATTTGCCAACGCTATGTTTGCATGCTAGCTAGGTAGCTGACTTAACGATTGACCCAACGACTTACCACCGCTGGACCTCAGGAATTACTCACTCACTGACTTATAGAATGCTTTGACGAAAATATTATTTTCCCTTCTTTATCATAGATCGGAATAGTAAGCTTCAGTGATAAAGCAGCCACACCAATAGGGTACAGAGGTGATGGGCGTGACTGCCACAGCGAACGTTTAGCAGATGCCACACCAATCAATATAAAATACATGGACAGCTATGTTGATTCACTGTCTGCTGGAGGTAAAAATCAACTAGCGTTCTTTTCCATGTCATCAGCAGTCCCTGAATGTGATCTTCATGACATGTTTACTGATTATCAAACAAAGTCGACAAAATGAGAGTTTTAAGTTTTGTAGGTACAATGTTGAGTTATGCCAAATTTAGCTTGATCTGAGTCAATTCAGTAGTTTGCAGCCTTTCTCATCCATGTGTAAAGTCAAATACAGCTTCTAAGGCTCTTCATGAACTTATGATAACCATAACCCTGTGGGTTTTTTTCTTTTTTTTTAATTCAGGAGACACTCAATACTCCAAAGCTTTTCGCTCAGCCTTCAATCTGCTGAAAGGTTCCTCTTCTGGAGGAGAAACCTCAAGGACGAAAGTCATAATCTTTCTAACGGATGGTAAACCAACCGACGAACCAACGGAAATCATGCAAACAATACAAACAGAGAACGCAGAGCTTGATAACAAGGTGGTAATAATGACGTATGGGATGGAACAGGACTTACAAATCCTTCGAGATATTGCCAATCAAGATGGTGGACGCTATGGAGTATCGCAAACCTCTGACGTTACTGTAAGTACAACCACCGTATTCACGGCTTAGTCCATGGCGCAGGATGAAGAAAAATTCAGGTTACCCATAAGGATCCGAACCTTAAACCTTCCAATTTATTGGTTGAGAGATTTTAGCCGTGGTGACGTTTCACTTTTATTGTCACAGGAGGGCCGACATACCTGGCCAGAGCTATGTATGCAGTCTTGAAGGAAATCCTCAACATTCTCATTATTTATCCATCAGTTTAGAAGCTTCTAAATAACACGATAAATGAGCTTAGCTTGGGGCAAGGGATCAAAACAGTATTGATTACTCGTACTCAAGAACAACTCTGTAGACATATGGGAGCTTAGTGTATCAGTTGCCCCTTGTAAGACCTCCTTAGTCATTCACAGAGGGCTGAAGTTAAACCTCTCACTCCTTTCCTTTTATTATAGGCAGGGAAATTTACTTACGTAGGAAACACAGAAAATTTGCGAAGAGACTTGGCAACGTATTACGATTTCTTCTCTGAAAACTTAGTGCGCGATGCACCAATCATATCCATTCCTTACATTGATGCCTTTGGCACGGGTAAGAGTCCGGTGTAATAGTAGCAGATAAAATAACGAGTTAAAGCTGTTTTTGGTTTGTTAAACTTGTACAATAATTAATGAAGGGCTATTATTAATTAAATGTGTAATCGTGAGGATACAAGCCGATCAAGAGGTTTGATGTGGTCGACTGGTGCCGCAAAAATGGTCTCGAGGTGATTCAGTCTGCCTTTTCTGGTTACGGTTTTTAACCTAGTTATGTATTTTTTTAATCACATGTTTCTTGGACTTGCTCAGCCCTGCTACCCTTTGTTCATTTCGATTCTCCTTCAGCGCAAGAAATCAAAATTCCTCTCTCGAAGCTCACTTGGTGGGAAATCATTTTCTGCGAGATAAAATGAACACTAAGATCATTACAGCAAAGTCGTCCAAGACAATGCATGTAGAGGAGTGTGTGGGGCTAGTTAACCATTGAACTTGTATATCTATCTCGACAGGTCTGTTAACTTCCATAACACTCCCATGCTATTACCAAGGGAAATTCATCGGTGTTGTTGGTACCGATATTAGCATGGAAGACCTTCTATCGGAAATCACATACTTTCAGAGAGGCCAATCAAGCTACGCTTTCATGGTGGACAGTTCTGGGAGGACCATGATGCACCCTCTTTTACCAGCCCCTTCAGATGCATTCGGTGACCCCATTTTCATGGATATAACAGCTTTAGAAGCTGAACCCGAGTTTACCTCAGTGTTTCTATCAATCAAAAGGTAATGGACTCTTCGAAGTAATTGCTAGGGCCAAAACCCATCGTAGCTTCGCTATGAACGAGAAACGCAGCTAGAATAAGGAGTTTGAAGTTGTTTTCATTGGGGAAAGAAAAATTGAAACTAGTTTCAATGTATTTCCTCTGAATCGATTCAAAACAACGATAAAAAGAGATGTAGATAGAAATACGAGAGATGGTAAGTTTTGAGCTCGGTAAAGAAATAGAGAAAGATGTGTTTTCGTCTTGTCACGAGCGTGGGACAAAGAAAAAATTCTGAGTTCCTTCGGAGAGACCTTCGGATTCTGCGCTCCGATGCTCTAATCACTGAGCCACAGAGACTCTACGGTGAGCGAGGTCTGCTTGGATCAGCAGTGTCGAAAGCGTTAAGTTTGTAGATAGAACTACGAGAGAAGGTAAGTTTTGAGCTCGGTAAAGAAATAGACAAAGATGTTTTTTTTCGGAATCCGCAGGTCTGAGGTTCGATTCCTCATGGTGACTCAGAATTTTTTCTCTGTCCCACGCTTGCGACGAGACGAAAAAACATTTTTCTCTAAAAAAAGAGATGTACAGGAAATCTCGTCCGAGTGGAGGTTCTTTGAATTCGATTTCTTTTGTTTTAGAAACAAAGTTCTCATATAGTTCGGACGAAACAACCATTAACAAGTTGAACATAGAGAAATTGAATGATTTTATTTTTTTTTTCCAAGTGGTAAATCTGGACAAAGAACATTTCCATCAAAGCGTTTCCTGGCTCGTGGTGGACAAGTGGAGGAAGGAGTAACAGTTGCAACTTATCGGTCGACCTATTTCTGGGAACCAGTTCAGCACACTAATTTTACTGTTACAATTGTGGTTAAAGATGGCGATAAGGATGAGATACTGGACACTCAGACTATTCCTTCCGGTAAACCAAAGCATCATTGGAAAAGATGCAAATTATCAGAGAGATATTTACCGACTTTATGTCTCCTCGTTAACGACTGACCTTATAGATCCTTAAAATGCAACTTTATTTTTTGATTGAATTCCCTCACGTACATGTTTGTTGTACCTTTAAATGTTGTGCGCTTTTCTACGCAGATTTTGAATTCTTATATCATCGCTTGGACTTGGTGAAGCCGGATTCGCCATGCGTTCACTTTTCAAGATATGCAGCAAAAGGTTTGTAAGCCCCCCGCCCTTCCACATCCATGAAATGTTATCGTCGTCATTGCTATTTATGCTCAATGATTTTTAAAAGATATCGCGACTCTTAACTGTTGCATCATATTATAGAGCAATATCACAACCTTTATTATTGTCACAGATTCAACTGTGGTAAAGTTTAGTGCAGAAGCCTTTACAGATCCATACAAATACCTTGGACTGGATGAGTCAGTATCTAAAGTGAACGCTTACGAAAGGTTTATGAAAAGTGCAAGAGCAATCAACCCCGGATTTAAAACTGGCATACGTAATACAGTCATAGCGACCAAGAAGGTGGAAGATATTTGGTTTCGAGAAAAGACGGAGTACACCAAATATCTTGTTTGGAGATATGTTGGCACAGCCAATGGTGTTTTCAGAATGACACCTGGAACTTTACTGGCCAAATCTTACGATCCGAGGAAAAGACCATGGTAAGTAGTATATGGTTGTAAAATTTACATTGGGAGTATGTTTCCCATTCTTCCATCGTCTTTTAACTTTAAAAAGTGTCTTTGGAGTCAACCAAGCTTTGTCTTCCATCCTCTGTGCAGACATCATTAGTTCACAAACAGAAATGTATGATAATCCACCCGAAAGTCCCACATTCCGATCCCCTAAGGCGATTAAGCTTTATTTACCATATGATATGTCACATTATCATTTCATCTTTTGTCATTTTTTAGGTATCACACCGCTCTCAGCAACACGGGATCAGTTGCCCTCTCCACGCCCTATATAGACGCCTTCGGTGCAGGAGTGGTGATAACTGCAGCCCACACCCTCTACCGCGGTGAGACAAACAGCCAGCATAGTACAAGTGATCAGGTTATTGGAGTCATGGGCGCAGATTTTCCCCTATCATACTTCCAAAAGTAAGTGTATCATATTTTTTAAACCGCACTTCTATTACACAGCTATGATATCTTTGTGTCTATTTCACTCTGTGAAAAACAGATCATTCTATTCGTATTCCAACCATAGATACTTAAAGTACCGAGGTGACTTCCTTTCCAGGCTAAATAAGTTTAAACCGAGGTTGTCTTGTTCTAGTTTTTACCTTCATAATAACTAAATACTTTTGTTTCAGACTCCTAACAGATACATACCCAAAGTGTGAGGAGAGCAGCTATGATTGTTTTGTTTTGGACAGAGCTGGATTCCTAATCATGCACAATGATTTCCTACAGCCAGATATAACAGCTAAAACTCTGGAGTATGTCCACATCACAGAAAAAGAGAAAGACATCTCCGAAGATCTGATACAAAAAGGTTATCTGGTGAAGAAGGAATGTCGAAATTTGGAGAAAATCGGCTTGCAGAGCTTTTACGAGCTAAAGCTGCCATTTCAAGGAGTGAGTACTCTTGAGAATGGACAACGTTGCAAGAAGTATCAGCTCTTGAAAGTTGGTGGAAGTAATGCCTTTTTGGGTAAGAGAGATGGGAAAAATCTGACAGGTGTGTTACAATAAAAAATATATTTAATTTACGCTGGAAACGTTTCTTTTCTCTTTTACATCAACAGGAATCATATCAAGGGAGGGCTCGTGTTCATCCAAGGCTTGCAGCTGCTCCACTAACAAAGAATGTTCCAACGTGAAGGGATTGAGTTGCGAATGCCCTTGTTCCTCACGACTTGAATTCCATTACTGTAGGAGTGAATTTCCAGCCAGCAAGTAAGCTTATCATGATGTGAAAAGTTGCTAGCCCCGGGTCTCGTATGTAAGCTTACCAGCTTTATTTTCTTGCAGTATTTCCATTTGTCCCGTGCCAGCGACTGTTGTTCTCTCTGAGCGAATAAATGATCCTTCAGTAAATGGCTTAGGGAAATGTTTCGACCCACAATGTGACAAGAAGCCTGATTCAGAGTCATGTGACGGAGTCGTGGGCTGCTATTGGTGCGTTAGAGATAAGTTCAATACTCCCCTTTCCAAGAAATACTGCGCAGATATCAATACCTGCTACGGTGGCACACAAGGTAGATCTTAAACTGTTTATTCGAAGACACTTTTTCCTGAAGTGTGCATCAACTGATATATGTACTTAATTGTTTTTATTCTGTAGGCACGAGAGCCCCAGGAAGCGGTAATATTCCTACCAACCCCACCAATCCAGAAGATGACGATGATAAGGGTGGTCTCTCGGCAGGTGCCATTGTTGGTATTGTTCTGGGGCCGATCGCTGTCATTATTGTGCTTACTTTCATCTTTGTTAAATGTAACAGAAAATATTTTCCAAAACCGATTACATTCTTAGCCCCGGCTCCAGCGGTGGAACGCAACGCACTGCCGTGTATCACCCGTCCACCAGGATATCCATACAGACCTAAGTTTGGTTTTCCTGAGAATAGCGCAAGTGTAAATATACCGCCACCTCCCAGTTATGATCAGATAACGCCATCTTTTCCTAATGCTTCTGCACCACCCTATGCACATTACCATAAGGGTTTACATTAAGTAGAACTTGATAATCCTTTCACTCTACCGGAAGTGGTTCGTAAACGAAAGGATGATCCGGTGACACTGTAATACGTTCTCCCAGATATGTAACGGTGCGGCCTCCCCTATTTTTACACAGATCCTGCTCTTAATCTAATGTGGTGTTATAAATATTATATCATATGCTTAAATAATTTTAGCCGAGCCTTATCGCATCGAACCTGTTTGAGGCACAAGCTAATACGATTTATAAAATAAACGCTTCGCATTTCTCTCACTGCAGGGTTAATTCTCCATATCTTGTAATTCTGGTCAGAAAAAATTCCCTTTATCAACAGCGTCCATCGACAAAGTCATCTCCAAGAGAGGAGTCATTTACTAAGCAATATAATATCTATGCTATCTCATATTTCAAGGATATCTTGTTTCAAGTATGAAAATGAGAGCTAAAAACAACTCCAAGGGACTCTTATAGGTGAGGGAAAAAGAGGGGAGTATTTTCTTTTCGTAGCATATTTTGGAAGTTCAAACGAGGCCTGTAAATACAATTAATATTTAGGATTTAAAACCCAAGCTCTCGTCGACTATTAGCATAATAAATAAACTGTGTTGGAAATAGAAAATTTGATATCACTAGGTGACCAACTTAATGTAAACAACAAATGTAACGGTAGCATTGATCGTTTACCAAGAGTAACAATGTCGCTTTCTGTAACGACACAAAGATATTATAAAAATACAATTGGTCGATTTTATTACGTCTGTACATTCTTAACCCATGTTTCCTTAAAATGATATTTGTTGTGAATGACTTTCGCTCAGTGAGGTCCCAGTTTAGTTCCCTATCCTTTCTCCCTTGGTAAGAATGAAACTAGTTCGAGTCTCCAGCCTAGAATATAATAGTTACGCAAGGTGTATCCCAAAGTTACCTTACTCGAAATCAGCCAAGCTTTCTTTCTCTGTGTTCGCTAGGATCCTCTCAGTCGCCCCTTGTGATGCTTAAGTTATTGGGAAAATTATAGGGGAACTCGACCGATCGATAGATCACGTTTAAGATGACTGGAAGGGCTACAATCTTTTGGAGAGCGGCACCATATGGACGACTTACATATCGCATATCACATTTAACCAAGGAGAACAACTTAACGTTACCGGAGAAGCGAAATTTACCAATCACTGAAGACTTATGACATTTGAACCTTGCAGCCAACAACATCACTGCAAACAAAGCTTGCCGGAAACGGACTCGTAGCACACCACCGACATAATTTTTACACGACTCTTCTAACGACTTGCACAGAGGTTGTCGGAACGTAAGTTTCTCCGATTAAGTCTTTGTCGGCACTACACTTACCCTGAGAACTTACTTAGTGGTTAAGCATGGTTATCGTACTCAAGTATATTAAGGCTTGGCCAGCCAATTAAATGTGCATGATAGTAGAAGATGCCATCTAGAATGGTTCGGTTTAATCTATATGCCTAAAAACCTGCGCTACTAGTAAAAAATATCTTCATTAGCAAAAAATACAAACTCAAGCTTAAATATGACCTTTCATTGAGACCTGTTTAAGAATTAGTTAAAATAATTATGTGGGATATTTTTAGGACACCTTGTACGGCATCGATCACTTGAATGAATTCTACTTTACCAGCCCGCCAGCAAGTTGACCAGCGGATTTGTTGTTGAGATATATACTTTGTGTAAGTTGACATCGTGATGATGTCACGAAGTTTGGAATGATTGATTATGAAGGGAAAACAGAATGCGGAAAGATTGATTTGAGCGAGCTGGGATGCCGTCTTGACACTGCGCTCCACAACAGCTTCTTGAAAATTGCCTTGTGTGAAGAGTAGTTTAAATCCTGGGTAATTTTTCTAGAACAGTATTTTTAACGAAACGAACGCGAAGGATTTTTCAACGAGACAGAAAGTTTTACAGAATATCCTCGAGTTCAGTGGAGTAGATCGGCTATCATTCATGCTTTCTCGTAGTTTTACTTTCATGTAATTTCCCATGCCATTACGAACGACTGCGTAAGATGACAAGGCGAACTGAAGTAAACAAATTCCGGTCGAACCACCGATTCTTACGGCATTTTATCGATTCCAAAAAAAAAATGGTTGTGATCAGGCTAAAAGTGCATTTAAACAGACAACTTTCCGCCAGAATGCAATGAATGTATCAGATCCGGTAGAGTTGTTTGCGCAACCTATCTGACGTGATCGAATATGTAATAACATAACTTCTGTGTGTCCATAATCACTGTAGCTAAATACTTCCTGAATGCACGATTAATCTAAATCTTAGATAGACAACTATTTGGATGTAGAGATGTGTACATGTGTAAACGTGATTCGACTGAAAGTAAGTAATTATTACAAATATCCAAGTACAAATATAGCAACATCAAGAGTAACGACAGAGCCACGTGAAATAGAAACAAACTTAACATTTCTGGCGTAACCAGGTCCGGCAGTAAAACTCTTAGATAAAAGTAACACGGCAAAAAGTAACGAAACGACTTACTTAGTGCAACTAGCAGTGAAAATTATCTAAGGAAGACAACGTTTCTACTGGTGAGAAATAAAACGCTACGGGCGTTACATAATTCTTACAAAACCTCACGCAAAAATGCGAACTTCTTGAAAAGAAACATAACATACAACGGTAGTTCAATTGAAAGAAAACAATATAAAAAAAATTTCGCAGTTAAATGACTTTAAATAGAAATGCAAATTCTTGTGGCTACAATCACGAAATGGAAATATTGAGATCAGGTAACGTCATTCGTTAAGATCGAAAAAATACTAGCCAGGAAAAAGCGTGGGGGTTCAACATAAGCAGTATCCCGTTAAAACGAGTTGAAACACGACAAGAGGACAGTACTGAGTACGACTGTCATCGCAAAAACATGGCGTCTTCGTCATTCCTTCGTGGAGATGGGAATTCGGTCGCTGTAATGCTTTTTTTGATGACGTTTTGTCCGTGTTGCACAGCAGATTTACTAGATCCAAGACTTTTCAGTCAAACACTAACCAAACTAGCCACAGATGGACTTGGCGTCTCTGATTTGCAGGTAAGATCAAGATTCATAGTTTGGATAAACGTGAAGTCCTTCCAATTCCTGTGTGTATCAGAAATATTGGTGTAATATTTTGCACAAGAAAAGATCGTGTAAATGTTTACGCCCTGCAATGCTTTATTGCTCACCAACAAAATTTCGTGTCATTTCTGCTGCTAAATAATTTTACTATTTATTTTTAGAAGTGTTGATACAAATAGATCATAGTTTTCATACAGTTTCATGCTTCCCGATCCAGCTCCAATGAGCTACACATAATTTTTAGAGGTGCAACTAGAGAGGAGTACGCATACAAAAACCTACGAACGGTCACCGTTGCCACATATTTCCTTCGCTCCACTCAATAAACACTGTGCAATCATAAAGGTATCAAATATTGACAGGGAAGCTGTGGCGTCGATTTCTTGACAGCACTCTGTTCAGTAAACTTGAAGTGTAACACAAGGATTACATGGTTATTTAAAATAACACTAACAAGAAACAGTTACTGAGTTATCAGTAATCTGAGCCCAATTTTTACATTTGGACAGATAACTAATTTCCAGGCGATATTGTTTTCAAGAATGAAAAGATGACTCTTCTTTAATTTGATCATACAGTCATATTTTCGGTAAAAGGAAAAGCTTTTCTGCATTAACAAAGTACACAAACTGACATTCAGACAATGAAATATGATTCATTTGTAGGTCGACAAAACAGAAACAATGCTGAACGAAAGTAAAATTACTGGCGAAAAATAAAGATGCATGTCACGTGACAACATATACTGACAATACAATGTAATCATCGATTCGAAGGAAATTCGATTACATTTTCTTTATCTTAAATACACTCAAGAATTAAAGTGAAATAATGAAAAGGGAAAAGCGAACAATGAAACAAAATCCCTAAAATATGATTATGTCTCACAGTAACTATAAGCAAAGAATAAATAATTTTCATCTTCATACCCGTTCAAGTCCTTCTTGCTTAATCCCAGTCTCAAAATCTTATCTTTTGACTCTATCTCTTCCTCCAACCATCTCAATCTCAGTTTAAACGCGCCAGTTCAACTGACAGTACACCGGTTTCATGAAAAGAGTCGTCACATCAGTCGTTTGCTTCTTTTACAAATCCTAGTTTATCTCTTTTTTTATCTATTTCTTCTTTTAAATCTTGATTATTTCTTATCTAGGAGCATTTTGACAGGTTAAAGTTTACAGAGACAGTCGTGGATGGCAGTCAACTTATCCCCAATCTGGCAGCAAGTGTCTCAAACAAATTCAGAGACAGGTTTCACGTTGTACAAAGGCTTAAGACAGCTGTTGAGTCCTCCTGGCCCACACCTCCCTCATCAATCCCGACAGAATGCTGTCGAGTGTCAAGTTCATCTAAAAATGTAGAATATGACTCCAGATTTCAAAAGCGACTCGACATATCAAGTGCGTGCGTAAAAGTATCCCAAAATGCTCCCCCATCACCTAAACATGTCGCCAATTCAGTCGTGGAGGAGATGAAAAATATTTTGCAAGATAATCCTTTCATCAAGTGGCAATATTTTGCATCAGAAGAAGGCACGTTGGCAAATTACCCAGCATTTGAGGATACGGAAGATTGCAGATCTTATGATCCTCGTTTCAGGCCATTTTACGTGGAAACGGCCACGCCGAAGCCAAAGGATGTTGTTCTTGTTCTCGACACCAGTGGATCGATGAAAGGAAGCCGGCTAAGGATCGCTAAGGAAGCTGCTAAAACTTTTCTGAGTACAACGAATCCCAGGGACAGGGTGAGTATGAAGAAAAGTTTGTGTGTATGAGTATAAAGCATTCTGCAATCGTTTGATAATCCTATTTCACAACGGAAATAAAAGGAAAATATGTTTTACACATTATGAGATTCCCTTCTCCTTTAACCCTAATATAATTGAGAAGCGATCTTTCACACAGCATATACTAAAGTGCTGAATAAAGGACTTAAATGAATGATCAATTGATTCGCTTAAGTATCGACTGAGTTGTCAATAACTAAAACATGTTGATTTGCAAACGCTATGTTTGCATGTTAGCGAGGTAGCTGACTTAACGATTGACCCAACGACTTACCACCGCCTGACCTCAGGAATCGCTCACTCACTAACTTATAGAATGCTTTGGAGAAAATATTATTTTCCCTTCTTTATCATAGATCGGAATAGTAAGCTTCAGTGATGAAGCAGCCACACCAACAGGGTACAGAGGTGATGGGCGTGACTGCCACAGCGAACGTTTAGCAGATGCCACACCAATCAATATAAAATACATGGACAGCTATGTTGATTCACTGTCTGCTGGAGGTAAAAATCAACTAGCGTTCTTTTCCATGTCATCAGCAGTCCCTGAATGTGATCTTCATGACATGTTTACTGATTATCAAAACAAAGTCGACAAAATGAGAGTTTTTAAGTTTTGTAGGTACAATGTTGAGTTATGCCAAATTTAGCTTGATCTGAGTCAATTCAGTAGTTTGCAGCCTTTCTCATCCATGTGTAAAGTCAAAGACAGCTTCTAAGGCTCTTCATGAACTTATGATAACCATAATCCTGTGGGTTTTTTTTCTTTTTTTTAATTCAGGAGACACTCAATATTCC